AAATCCGTTGCTGGCGGAGGAAATTTATAAACTATCTCAAAAGTGGAACAGGAGAACGAGACACTTGTCAGTATTCTGGCCCCCAGAGGGAACATTTAATAAACATTTGTGCGCTGAGATGAAAAAGTTGATAATTAATTATACGGCTGAAGATAAATTTGTAAAGCGTGTTTGTAAACGTGAAAAATGAGGAGCAGTAAAATAAAAGAATTGGAATTCAACTCATAACATTCACTGTGTGGTATGAAACAAAAGTTTGTGGTTTGTGGGTGACATGCCATTAAACATGTAAAAGCAGAAGTGCTGGCTTGCATGAATCAAAACCGTATGTGTCAGGTTTGGCGGGTGAAGCTGCCAAATAGTGTTTGTAGTGAAGTCAATTATATTGCCAGATGAGCTGAGGTAGAGAATAGTCTTTTACTAGCAACACTCAAAACAACAGTACAAAGTCTAGGTTCAAAATCAGGTCAATAATACAGTCCAAGGTCAGCGTCGGTAAACATCTACAGCCGGGAGATCCACAGGAGAGAGGTTGGGGAGGAGATATCAGAGGGTCGGTACACAGCAGGCAATCACAATCTGGGGGAATAAGGCAAAACACGCTGGTCAACAGGCAATCTGGGGTCAGAACAAGATAGTCAGGCATGAGAAAGAACGCTGGAAAGTCAGAGCTGGGGTATAGAACAATCTGGCAACTTCCTGTTTGTGGGGAAGTTGCCTATATGCTTGTTGTAGCAGGTGTTACCAATCTGGGTAATGAGATGCAGGTGAAAACAATACTATTTGATTAACGTAAAGAGTCCAAAATGGAGGTGAACCAAACAGGAAGTAATCTCAAAATAAAAGCCTGAGACCGGAAGCCGATGGGACAGAATCATGACAGTATGCTAACAGGGGCAGCCTAACCCACTGTCTTTTATTTTCATCAACTGCACAAGACAGTATTTTATAGTATTCTTGTTTGTAAAAATTGCAAAAACATGAACCATTACAAAAACTAACTTAAGATAAGTGGCTTACAGCAGTTCTGAGCATTTCCATTCTTACACATTTATTATACAATGATCATGGAAACATTTTCCATGTTGGTCTTTCTGGATCTTGAGTCACTAGTGACTGCACACACACACACATAAATACCGTTTTACACATGTGCTTTGTAATGTACTTTCTTTTCACTTTTGTGCAGGTTCTTGTTCACTTTTGAAAAGGTCTGTTCAATTTGTCCATTATAAAGGAGAGTACATGTGCTGTGTGTCAGAAAGATCTCCTCAGCCTTACACAGCATAACCTTCCTCTCTGTATACACAGATGTAAGAGAGGGAAAAAGCGCATGCTGCATATCATTAGATCTGATTGTGCAACAGATGAGCACAGTACAGTACAGTCCATCTCAATGCGGATTTTATGTCTTATCTTGGAAAAAGTGTCTTAAAGGTTTTGGCCTCCTCCCTAACCTTATCATCAAAACCACAAGTCCCGGCAGAGTGCAGGGTTACACCATGCAGAAATTCCACATAACACATTCAGTAGATTCCAAATTACTGTAGGAATAAAATTATTCCCAAAAGAAATTCAGTGGTTTTGTTTTTATTTTGATTAAACTGTTGATGAGCTGTGGTGCACAGTAGGCTGCAGCCTGCATTCCCTAGTCTGCCTAGCAGCCTGTGAATTCAGTCACCCAACTATGAGTGGAACCATGGAGTCTAGAATAGCCCCATCAGGTCAACAGCTTTCACTCAAACTACAGGCATTTCAGTTACAGCACCAGGTTAGCTCAACCCCAAAATCAACAGACTCAAGCTGAGGATCAGGTTTTATTTCAATATTCCTATGTGTTCTCCAGTCCTCATCAACATATTTCACATCCCAACCAAAGATATACAGTTGAGTCTGCCCCTTCCTCTTTGACTGCGTATCTACACGCTGCAGACAACTGCTCATTAGATAATGTTAAACTAGCATACACAAGAGAATGAGGTTTACTAAAAACTGTGAGGGTGGTAGACTTCATGGAGTTTGTGATAAGAGGCTTTGTACAATAATGGTTTTCCTCTTTATCCTGCAGGCCCTAATAGCAGAGACGAACCACTTTAATGATGCTGTCCTCATTCAGCTTGAACAGCTCTTGTACTTTATTATACACAAGGTGACGGGCTGACCAGATCTTTATTTTAATGATTTGTTTTTGTAAATAAACCATGGCTGTTGCAAGACTCCATTTGGTGAATACTGAATCCCAGTATTCTACTGGACTCTACACTCATACCTCTAATATGCTAAAAGGTAAGCTTGATTTGGATGTCTGTGCAGGCAGCATATCAGTGCACACGTCTTAAGTATGTAGAATGCAGTATGCTCCAGACACAATTGACATCCCACATCAGGCTTCTCCAGTCCATGTCGAAGTGTCCTTGGGCAAAGCACTGAACCCCAAGTTGCTCCTGGTGGTTATGCCATTGGTGTGTGAGTGTGTGAATGTGTGAATGGAAAATAATGTAAAGCACTCTGAGTGTGCTTCATTGCATAGAAAGGTGGCGTATAAGACCATTTACAATTTACAATCAGCAGCAGCTCCAGACCAGTCCCAGCCTCTCAAGAAAAATAAATAAATAAATAAAATCTCCAAAAAGCTTAAAGAAAACTGGGAGTAGCTCATTTCAGACAGATTAACACAACAAGAGGTAATCTAGTGGCAGATGCAAAAGACCAATTATGATAACTGATAATGATGCACTATACAGTAAACCCACTGTATCACTAATATTGTGATCTGTTAATATTATATTTATTTTACTAAGTAACCATTCATCTTGTTTTCAAGTTTCCAGTGGTTCACATTCATGTGTGTCTAAAGCGTCACTTACAGTAACTGTAGCCTCACCAGCGTGCACTTGTGTTTACTCATACTGTATGAATCATGGTGAACTTGCAGATTAGTGTTAGATAGCTTTTAGACAGACCCAGTGTTTCTAAGTGCATGTACCCAAATACTGTAGCCTGCTTACAGTAACAGGATTAAGGTAGGCCTACTTCACTGTGTTACGTTTAAAAGTAAATTCAATGTACTTCTTATTTCACTACATTTGCTACAGCAAGTTATTTTATTTTACACACAGTACATACTTTTTTACTCCTACCTCCTTACTTACTGTAAGTAACGAATGTGAATGCCTTACAGGCCTCTGGTGTGGGCGTTTTTGTAGAGCCGGCGGATTTTCCTGGATGACTCCCCGCCCACTTGTACGTAAAGGATTGGAGCCGCGCACCTGCGATAAGTACAGTCTATCGAAGTCGCTAGTTTTTTTTTTGTAATGATTCCCGTTAATTGTGTGGATTATACATTTCTGACTAGACCATGACAGAGTTCCAGCCATTATGCCTAATGGTAAGTTTTTATTTTCTTTTAAACTACTTTACGCACAGAAGTTGTCTTTCGCTCCGGGCCCAGCTGATGTTAATGTTTAGACATAACTAGTTTAAGAGTTCTGTGCCACTTTTTTATTGAGACAGCATTTCCTGAAAATGAAAAGTCATTCATAAATGGTTATGTTCATAAACGAACACCTTCCCACATCAGTCAAAAGTTGTTTAGGCGGAAACATGTTAATTTGTTATTTAATATCGTAATGGCTGAACAGCAATGACCACGTTTTGATGAAATTCTCCAGTTATTCAGTGACAGGGAAATTAAATTAGCCAAATCTGAGGTTTTTCGTTGTGCTACTTTGTCTCTATACCTCTTTGCAGAATGTCACGTTTATTTGCTAAACCAGGTGCGAAATTCCTCGAAGGCTTCAGAAAGTTTGAACTAAGTTGGCGTTAAGTCATTAATGTAATCTGTTCCCCTCAAACACAGAGTTGCTCAAAACGTTTCTTTGGTGTTTTGATAAACTAACGTTGACAATAAACCCCGAGGGATACGTAACTACTTTCTAATATTATGCGGTGGTAAAACTGAGCCGGGTGTCATGTGCACACTGCACGCACGTCTCTCCCTAAGGAGCAAATCTGACTTGTCGTTGTAATTTGCGCATATAGCTTAGTCTATACATTTAGGAGGCATCGATTAGAAATCTTCCTTTGATTCGGAGCGGTGGTCATCAGACAAACAGCTTTACTTAAAAGACAGGTTCAGCTTTTACCACTGACCTATACTTGATACTTTGCACTTTTGTCCATGAACGAGCAGAGGAGACTGTGTAAACCTCAGGAAGTAAGGATTTTATCCCAACTAAGTGCTGTTTTATGGATAATATGCCTGGCTCACAAAGATCCTTAAGATGTTTTATTTTTATATCTCTAATGACGTCATTTCTATTCTTAACCAAAGTTGCATCTGATTGTTTTTGATGGAATTTTATACGATTTTTCTTTAAGGCCAGATAATGTTATTCGGTGGTATATAACATGTTTTAAATTAAGGTCATGTTTTAGCACGCATTTTATTTAATAAGGGGACGTGAAATGGCACGCAAACGCATGCGCGTACAGTAGATGATGCAATCTTAAGTAGGATAGGAAGTTAGAAGGTAACTCATTGACTGTCTTTGCGCACGTTGTGTGTGTGTAACGTAAAAGTTAGGCTTTTATTGTAACTGTACATGAGGACTTTCACACAGCCCTGCCTTCTGCTGGCTGCTCTGAAGATGGAGTTGAACCAGGCCTGTCAGTCACCTGTGCCGCCCTAACCTTGTTTACTGGCTTGTGGCCTGCATTCCATTATGACGTGTTGCATCATAAGGAAGCTTTAAGATTACATGTTACGACGTCAAATAACCAGATATGAATGGTTGCTGTTGGGGGAGGGTGGCAGAGTATACTGGTATACTGATACAATAGTACACATGCACCGGACTCATTATTCCACACACTTGACTCCGTTTACTACTTCTCCATATGCTTTATTTAACATATTGGAACAAGAACCCATCACTGTGACTTGTATAGTTTAGCTGGATGGACTTCACTAAAAAGGAGATGTAGGCTTCACATGTATTTATTTATTTTATTTTTTTTTAAAGCTGTCCTTGGAAGACTTCCTGGGTACCTTTTATGGAATGATTTCCGCTTCACTCTCAGGCCAGATCATCCAGATGAATTACTTACAGTGTACCTAGGGTTTGGCCTGAGTTTGGAAAAACTGCATTTTTATTTTATGGCCCTTGGGCTTGGAAAAAGCTACAGGAAAAAATTGAACTGAAAACATTACCCTGATATAAGACATTTAAATATCAACAAAATACTTCAAGAGGAATGTAAATGTACAGTAACTGTTTTGAATGATTTGAGGTTTTATATTTCATTGTGTATTGTGTGACTGATCTGTATGTTGTTGTAAGACTCTCCTTTACAGTATGTTGCCATTTTGGTCAGGTCTCGCTTGAAGAGATGGTGTATCTCAGGGACTTCCTGGTTAAACAAAGGCAAAATAAATGGCTGCAGATAAAGATCATTTTAATTATTAATCTGCTGATTATTTTCTAAAGTGTTTAATCTCTAAAATGTCGTAGTTTTAAAGATCGACAACAATCTGCCAGTCTAAGGTGACATGTTAAAATATCATATCTTGTTTTGTCCAAATAAAAGTCCACATCTCAGAAACATTTAGTTAATATATTTTGTAGATTAGTCTGTCACTAATTCTCTTGGTTTTATTTAATTTATTAATTGTTTGGTCTATAAAATGTACAACATTTGATTAATGTCTATGAAGTTCAGAAAATGAAACCCCTAGATTATTTATTGTTTGACATGATGACTGCTGTTATCCCTCAGGTTTTTTTCATGCTGACCTTGTCCCTCAAACCCATGGGTGCGTTTCCACGGCCTGGCCTTGACGTTGGAGGCAGGATGCTGCTGCATGTCTCTTGCGGAGCCAACTATGAGTACCTGCATGACAACATCTGCTGTTTAAACTGTCCAGCTGGTAAGCCACATGGAGCAACACACTGATTTAGTCCACAGAGACTCGAGCTCTGTCACCAGATTGACTCACCAATCACTGGAGCTATGAAGCAGATTGAGTGTGGCATGATTGGTGTGTGTTTAGCTTATATGACGTGTTCAACTGAATGTTGAAAGATCAATTACTCTAAGTACTTGTCTACAGAGATTTTTGGGTCATGTTGTTTGTGTGTGTGTGTGTGTGTGTGTGTGTGTTTGTGTGTTAGGTACACGTGTGAAATCACCCTGCACCAAAGCAGGACAGAAGGGGACATGTGAGGAATGTGACTATGGGACATACACTGAGCACGACAATGGTCTGAATCAGTGTTTCAAGTGCACAAAGTGTCGCTCAGGTAATGCTGCTCGACAGCTTTACACTATCAATTGGAGTGATTGTAGAAGAAAAATCAATATTCGCCCTTTTCAAAGTGCTCTGAGCATAAGTCCAGACTTAACAAGGTGTTTTTTTTTCTTTTTCGTTTGTTTGGGTTTTTTTTTTTTTTTTTTAATCATTTTGCTTTTTCAGATCAGGAAATTGCGAGGCAGTGTACTTCCACTCAAAACACTGAATGTCAGTGCAAGCCAGGGAGATTTTGTGCTCCTGAACAAGCATGTGAAGTGTGCAAGAAGTGTTTAAGGTGAGTCTATGTAAACCAAACAGAGAGCACAACTGATGCTTTCTTTATTCACAGTTTGTGACAGGAGCAGTTCATTTCTCTGTGGCAGACTGCTTCTGGACCATCACTGATGTAATTGTGCCTTGTCTTCACTTCATACTTTTGTTTACCTCCAAACAGGTGTGGAAAAGATGAGCAGGTTGTGAGGAACTGCACCTCGACCACCGACACAGAGTGCAAGAAAATCCAGGCCAGCTCTAGTTCAGCCTCAGGTATAGGGCGCGGTGGACGCTAGTGCCACCTGAAAAACACTTTGCACATGAATCAAGACACCAGTCATCACTAGAGGAGAGCCTGGCTTTTTGTTACACTGAAAAATGTATCTCATATTTTCTTGAGAAAGACAAATGGTGAACCAGTTTGGTTTTCACAGAATTGGCTTATAAGTAAACAGGATTATAAATATTACCTGGATCAGTTTTATAATAATTTGTGGTCTACCCAGGGAGGCCATGTAGTATGTATATGTCTCGACATCCAAACCTATCATTGTAAAAACAGTTAACCAATAACTATATTAAACATACAGATTCAGCAAATGAGATTAATGTAGTAGCTTTGTTGCAGAAATGCACTTTGTGGTCTGGTCAGCACAGAAACACTCTCTGTGACTTTACATACAGTTTATTAGAGTTACCTAATCATCGTCATTTCACTGTGATGTTTGTAATATCAGAAAGATGTTATGTAATTCAGTCATTATCACAACCCACAACCATGATTAAAGGTGTAATATTCAGGCCTGCACTATACTGAAACCTGGCCACAGTGGCAAAAGAAATGTATGGTATTTATTGCAAACATGCCTCCACTGTAAGAAATTGGTCCTGATTATGACTATCTGAAATATTTTTTTACCATAGCATGGTGCTAATGGTTGTCAGTTGTATGTGTTTCTTTTCCCCCAATCAGGAATAATTGCAGTGATTGTGCTAGTAGTGATTGTTGCTGCTGTGATCATCGGGGCAGTATTTTACTGGAGGATGAGGAGATGCAGAGCAGCAGGTAATTTAAATTAAATGCCAACCTATAATATTATTTCTTTTTTTACACATAATAGATGGGAAAGCATTAAGACCTGGCAAAAGATAAATTAAAAAAAAGAAAATTACAACATGCAGTATGAATAGTTTCATTTTTGACAGCCCACATTTGGAGTTGGTTGAGTTGCTAAAAGCTAATGACACTTGCTTTCCTTCCCACCTTTTGCTTTATAGGAGATAAATAATTGTCATCCTGGAGCCTAATCTTTAACTTGCATGATGCTCTTGACAAGTGCAGAATCTACAGAGCCTGATTTCTGACAGCAGATACAATAATAAGCAATGCTCATGAATAGTTAACAATGAAACACTGATGTCACTGGGCTTTGTGTTTGATGCATAAGGGCTGTGTTCCATTTTAGTCTTGCGAATATGCTACATGTTTCTATAGCAGTGTGGGCACAGAAACCTGCTCAACTGGACTGTAAATTGCAGGTATGACACTGATTCATTCAGCTGACGATCTCGCAGGTGGCAGAGCAGATGTCAGAATAGGGTGTTGTAGGATAAGATGTAAAAATCAGGTTGATGTACATAAACATTTTAAACCACTGCGTTTAAGGGTGTGTGTCTTTATCTGTCAGAGCAAACTTGAAACTGTACTGTTCAGTTGCTAGTAGAGTAAAAGTACCTTTCTATTTGGATTCAGCCATGACCAGACATGTGGAGAAGTTTTCTCCCAGTCTCTGCTGTGTACAGCACCATCCTGTAGGTAAATGCTGCACAATGCAGTGGAAACTGGCACTGTGTCAGCCAGGTTCAGAGCTGACTTGTGAAAATCCCCTGCTCTTACTCCACTGATGGGTGTGGCCATCAAGATTACTGTTAGAACCCACAGATCAGTGCAGCAGGTTTCTGTGCTTAGTCATTTACTGTAGACTTATGCACAAAGGTCATTTCACACACAAGTCATCTCTCCTTGGTGAATGCCATAAAGTTGCATAATCCTTTTTTTCCACATCCTTTCTTCAGGCTCTCAGAGTAGTCAGCCTGATGGGATGAAAGCTGGACATGTGAGTGACTTCTAATATTTTTGGTAATACTGGAGGATTAATTATAACAAGTGCAGAGCAGTAGAATAAGATGACTGCAAATGTTCAAGTTTCCTCAGATTTGATGGATAGTGTTTATTCAAAAAATAAAGATGAATCCATACCGGATGTAGACTGGGAAAGATCGGGATCGGAGACGGGGTTTTAACGTTTCTTATTTCAAAAGCACAGAAGATGTATGTTTGAACATGTCCCTCACCCTCCCCAGCATCACACTGACAGCTGTTCCACCCAGGAAAGGAGGAATGGAGAAAATCGAAGGCACAGTAGCTCAAACTGGCAACTGGTGAGACCCAAATCCTCAGCTGGTATGGAGGATGAGCGTGAAGTGCTGTGCAAAAGCCTCAACAGCTCAGCCAGTAACTCGCAGCATAGTCTAACCGGCTTGCCCTCCTCTGCCTTCCCTGCAACCCTCGCCCAAGCCAGTCCCGTGGTCCCCAGGCAGCCCGACAGGAGGGTGAGAGCACCAGCTCATCTTCACCCCTGCTTATATCACTGCTTCTTGCACGCTCACCTGCTTGCTCCTTGTTTGTTTCTAACCCTCAGCTGTCTAGTTACACTGGTCCTGCCTGACCCATCTGTCAGGTTCTGTATTATAAATGCAGTAACGCACACACTAAACTCGAGTGACCAACTCTAACATGAAGCCTGTTTTGATCATCAGTGTTTCACATCTCATACGACACAATCATTACATATTCACCGTGGCAATGAGTTTTACACCAGTTGTCTTTTTTTTAACTGGATTGAAAAATGATTTATTCACCAGAACTCCCAGACACTTATCTTTCTTACTTTCTCCACCATGGCTAGAATGAGACACAAATTGTGATTGCATAAAGTTCCTTCCCAAGAGGCTATTTTGACATACTTCTGTGGATATCAATGAGAATTTGTCTTTTTTTTTGTCACATAGGAATATGAGCAGCTTCCCAAGCTTATTCCTGTGAGTGGTAAGTGGTTTTATTTTCAATCCTTCTTACAAGTTGCACCCTTTCTTGTGTTGCTTGGACCTGCATGAAATTGTGACGTTTGTACGTTTTTGTTGAAAACGAAAGTGGATGTTATTTATTGTTTGTTTGTTTTTAAATAATGCCACACTTAATTGAATTCAAGATACTTTTTGTCCGTCAAGGGGTAATTCAAGACTGCAGTCCACAAATGAAGTACACATTTGCTGTGTCCCACTTCAGGGGACTCATGCTTCAAAGGCTGCATGTGAAGACTGATTGCCTCATGACAAGGCCATCCCAGTTTAAAGGCTCCCTCAAATTCGTCCTTCTTCCACTGGGCAACAAAGGCTCCAACTTGTGAATTCTTCATAATTCGGTCTATCCCAAGATCCTCTGCATGCCAACAGAAGGCAGAGCAGCTGTCAGGGTTGCTAGGAGACGGGAGCAGTGCGGCCCATGGTGTGGCCTTTGCAGTCTACGACAGCTTCATAGGCCATGCCTTCATAGACTGTGTTCTTTTGAAGAATGCGGCTCCTGAATTGAGACACAGCTTTTGACAGCTCATCTACAAACATAAAAACAATCCAGAAATACAAACAGTATTTTGTTCCAGCCCTGCTTTGTGATTTAGTCACATAAGTCGAGTTTATGCACAAGTTCTAAATGTTCATAGTAAATGTTATTACTACAGTAGTGAGTATATGCCAGAGTGAGGTCGAGGTGCTTGAATGAAACTCTTATTTTGTGTCTGCAGGTGAAGAGTCTTTGAGGAAATGCTTTGAGTATTTTGAAGAAATGGATGTCAGCTACTACAAGAGATTCTTCCGTCACCTTGGCCTCACTGACAATATGATCAAAAGCAAGGAACACCTTCAATATGAAGACAGGATCCATGAGTTACTGAATATATGGGTGGAGAAAGTGGGCAGAGATGCCAGCTTAAATGATCTGCTGAAAGCACTGTTTGATTTGAATCAGAGGCGAACAGCTGAAATGGCCAGGGAGAGTGCTGTTAGAAATGGCCATTACATCCCTGAGTCTTAATGTTTTCACAGAAGCCTTCTGAAAATATGCAATCTACTATCAAGGCTACCATCCATAGTGTTGTTTCTGCCAAAAAAACAAAACAAATCTCGTTGCAGTAAAAGCATAAGTAATGTAGTGTCATGACTATCACTTATGGTGACACATCCTTATTGGAGTAATCTTGTTATAATCCAGTCTTTGCTGGTCAGATTAGCAGCTCGCGTGGCTATTGTCCATAGTGGTCTTGGGTTGATGGTGTGAGGTCCTTGTTGCTTCTTTAAAACTTCTGCCTCATCCAGTGCTGGTTGGAGTAATAATGCACAAGGCTAGCATCCAAAGTGATGGAATTTTTTTTGGTGAGTAGAGAATCTATTCAACTAAAAATAAACATGCATATGTTCCTGATTCGGCTGTTGTTTCAGTAAAGGCGTTTCACTGTCCAGCTCTGAGAGGGAGGTCGTCAGTCTTTTCTAACTTGAAAATGATTTATTTTAGCTCAATGTAGTGTTGATAGTGAAGTATTTAATTTGGGAAAGTGTTTGCTGTCTTGTTTACACACTGCGATTTACTTGGCCCAAATCTGGAGAGCGTGTTTCTCATAGTTATTATGATATTAAGTAGACCTTACTGACAGTTTTATTCCTTGCAAAGTGTTTTATTTATTCAAATATGTCCTCAGGAATGAATGTCTTTGGGGTTGCACTGAACACTTAGAACATTAAGTCAAATGTGTAGGGATCAGAGATATTACCACAAGTATACTAAGGTAATAATGGTGGAGAACAGTTAGGTTTGTGACTTATTATTATTTAACAACTGTTCTTTGACTGTATTGTATACTTGCTGAGTGACAGTATTGTCCTGATCAAGTTGGTTTACTTTCTGAAAGCACCTGATTTAAGATGGATTTTTTTTTTTTTTAATACCCTATGTCTGCGCTATGTTTCCACTTTATTTATTGTTACACTTCTGTCATAATCCTGATCACATTATAGTCCTAAACTGCAAAGTTTCATGGGGGACCACTGATGGCTTGTCCAAATATGCTTGAAACAGGGGTTTTCCCATTCCCCCTGGTTTCCTGCTCTTAATAAATTATTAAGCTTTAAGATGAGATGGTCCCACATCAATATGAAGATTAATCACAGTGTTAGTCTTTTTTTACTTTCGTATTTTGTCTTGCTCATATCTCTACCTTTCATGTCCCATAGTAGTTGTTAGCCCATTGCTACTTTTTTCTTTTACAGAATAATTATACTTTGATAAGCTGTGAAATAATAAATACAATATTGCTCCTTATTTGTGTGTCCATGCATATATAGAAAAAAATGGTGTTGCTTACTTGATTTCAGTGATTTAGATTTGTTGTTATATTGTAACCTGTTCAGGCAGTGTGCTAGCTTAGATAACTGGGTCACACCCCTGCTAGTGGATTAGGAACCATCAACAATAGTTTCAGGGTTCAATTAAAATAATCTGTGGACGGTGGTAAACAGTATACAGCTTTATCTAAATAGAATATCAGTTCCCTTACTACCTAGTTGTGTAGCTGCCTTCATGCCTATGGAGCAATTAATAATGGTGTTTTGGAAAAGATGTAATTATTGTTCTGCCATAATGAATAGCACTGTTACCACAGTTCATAAATGGATTTACAGCAAACCTATGGAAGGTTATTTCATACAACACAAGCAATGATGAAACTGAAAAAGCAGTGGCCATTTTTACAGCAGGTATTATGTTTCTTCAGTCTCTAAACCATGACAGTGAGTCTGCATGTGTTATGTGATGTTGGTAAAATGACATGAGATTTTCCTGCTATCACATGTCAGTGTCTGCTATTAGTAAAGTCAAGATAGAGCTACAATTTCAGATTTGAATTATACTAATTATTTTCTAGATCAAGTGTTTAATTTCAGCTAATTATCAAAAGTTCATCACGCATTCCTAGAGCATAAGGTGATGGTTCCAAATCGACTGGCCAACAGTCATTTACTATGAAAATATTTGTCTGAAAAGCTAAAACCAGTACATATTTGCTTAAAATACCTGTTAATTTGACCAATGATTAACATACAGTAATTGCTGAAAATTAATTTTATGTTGATCAGCAGATTGACTAATTATTGCAACTAAAATCAGGAGATAGTGATGAATAAAAGTAGTGTATATCAGTACATAACATGACTTCTTTTTGGCTTTGGGAACAGCAGCTGACAAAACCTGAAGTTTGCTTAGTGTCATGACTTCTAACATTTTCACTTTTTTTTTCATCAAGTTAAGGACTTAATCTGTCAAGCTGCCTTAAGTTTCAAAGCTCATTCTATTCTGTTATGAAGCTTCAATACCTTCGAGCTTTTAGAAGAGTTTGAGTTCCTGTGTCAGAATTACAACTGGGATGTTTTTATGAACAGAGTTTACACATTAGAGAATCATATTACAATAAATGACATGATTGCAGAATAAGAGAATACTGTGTTTGAGTTCATATATCCAGTGGTGTTGTGAGGCATTGGTATCAGGATCATCAGGGTATCATCAAATTGTTTCACTCAGTGTCTGCACTCCTTTCTTACGTCTCACTGGTCCTGTAGCTGTGGTTAAACTGACAAATGCAAGTTCCAAATTCACACATTAATCTGCCTTTATGAGCCACTCAGACTTTCCTTCACTTGCCAATCATTTCTGCAGTTTGCTGCCTCATTTACTTCTTCATTCCTTATTCAGCAAGTTCACTAGCATGCTGTGTCTGTGCCTTTTTATTATTACCATTATGAATATTGATGGGATTACCTTGTCCATCAGTTCAAATTCTTGCCCTGCTGTATGTAGTCAAAACCGGAGCATTTAATAGAGGTGTCACAGAAACATTCAGCTAAGTGATACCTCTGATGTAACAAATCAGCTTTGTGACTCTCATGCATCAATGTAATACTGGCTGAGAACATTATTAAACATTCGGCTGCAGCCATATAATGTAGCAGCCAAACTACGACTCAGGAAAGGTGATTGAAGGTACAGATCTACTAAAGATCCCGAGAGCTCGACTCAGCTGCTCAGTAGCTGTATTATACTTTGTGTACTCTATTATACATGAAATACAAATGTGTTTGACTTTGACAGTTTAAATCAGAACTTTGCTGTAATAGAGCTCTATCATACAAGGTGTTTTCAAGTAGAAAATAGAATAGATCTGTATCAAAAGAACCAATAGCAACAGCAATGATCAATATGTATAGGTCATCAAGTATAAATATTACTGGATGGTAGGGAGTGGATTTTGGAAACACATTTCACATAGGTTTCATTAGCTGGGCATGTGTTCACAAAATTTCATGGAAATCCATTCAGTAGCTGTCAAGATATTTCACTTTGGAGCAAAGTGGGATATAAGACTGCTGTGTTTATGTATAAAGCCAGGAAAAATTTATTACCTGGTGGAATTCAAAAGTTATTTAATGAAAGGGAAGGGGGATACAATTTAAGGGGTCAGTTAAACTTAAAAATTCATGCTATACGTACAACCAAAAAAAGATTCTGTATTTCCATAAGTGGGGTAAAACTATGGAATAATTTAAATGTGGACATAAAAAATAGTAATAGAATTGACGAGTTTAAACATAAATATAAAGGTATGTGTCAATCAAGATGCATGCAAGAACAGGCTTAATGATTAATTAGATGGAACATTGTGGGTGTGGTGTATGAATGTTAATACTCTGTAATAATTCTTTAGTATATTACTTGTGTGGCGTAAAAGATAATTATCTATGAATGTAATTATGTAGAATGTTAACACTCTGTAATAATTCTGTCGTATATTACTTGTGTGGTATAGATGTAGAGGCTTGGAAATAGTGATGACAAAAATAGACACCCCTAAAATTTTATTTTCTTACTGTACTATTTTATTTTTACTGCTGACATTCATTTGGTTCCTATGACATCTCTTTTGAGTTGCCAATATTTCCTATATTGGCCAGTAGATGGCGCATGACGCGCAGAAGTGGTGGAGAGTAGGCTTGGGGAACGACCGAGGAAGAACTATTCCTCTCCTGTGAAATAAACCTGCTGAAGCGTGTCCTCTGTGTACCCTCTATCCCAGGTTGGTAAACACTGAATGTTAAGAGTTAGATGCAAACGGTAGGAGTTGCATGGTGTCAGAGATGATGTTGGTTCATGCGAGGTTGGGTGAAACGGGTTTTGTGGTGGAATTTTGAGTTAACAGTGAAACGTGTTGTAAGATAACCTGCTAATGCTAATGGTCAATTTAGGGGGATACTATGGGGAGAGAAGCTAACCCAATGTTACAAGGAGCCTTTTGAATAGTACAGTTAACACTTTAATGAAATGGTTTCATGCAGTATGACATTTGCTGGTTTTATTCGTCACTATGTGCACATTTTCGGTTTATTACCAAGCCAGAAATGCTATTGTAAAATGTAGTGGATACATGGTTAAGATGGCATTAGTAAATTCATACCTGAACATGATTGAGTGAATAATAAGTGTGTGTTAGCAGAGTTAACTAACTAACTATGGCCACATGCACATTGGACTGGGTTAAGGCCATTCAGTACCTGGTTATGTTAACATGTGAATAAGAGGAAGAACCATTCCTCTCCGGTGAAATAAACCTGCTGAAGCGTGTCCTCTGTGTACCCTCTATCCCAGACACACACCGTATGCCCTCTGAATCCCAGAGGAGCAACACAAGCACATCACACACACTACTACACTACCCGGTCGCGCTACATGCGGAGCAGCAGCGAGCTGCAACAGCTCTGCCTCTTTTGTAGTCTAACTTCTTCCTACTCCGTTCAAGCATTTACTAGGTATAAGCAAATTGATATTGGATTATTATTGTTGGATATGTGTGAAATTACATGTGTTGACATATTAACTGTTTTACATGCTTGAATGAATAAATCAAATCAAATCAATCAAAGTGGCACCAACCAATTGATAGACAATAGATTCCTGTGACTCCACCATACCTGGTGGAGATCAAAGCAGAAAGTCACTTTCAGCTTTTCCTGTTTAGGGGTCGCCACAGCAAATCATCACACTGATGACTTGCATGTTGACATGTGTTTTACGCCAGATGCCCTTCCTGACGCAACCCTGATTCGAACCCAGGCCGCAGCGGCAAGAGCGCTGCGCCTTAACCACTAGCCTACCAGGCACAGCTCTCAAATGCGAATGGATACTGGACTTAAAATCAATGGCTGGAAATGAGTCCAACTGAAAGCTAATGTCGCTCTCTAAATATGCCCCTATTTTGCTAACTTTAGAAGATCAGTATTGTTTACCGCTGTTGCACTGCCCATGTGGCCTAAAATCTTTAAAATCTAATTCACAACAGGAGTCAGACTCTTAATCACTAAACATTCTGCAACTTTTGGCCCTTTAGCATGTTTCTTTTTTTTCTGTTTTACCAAATTGACTGCCATTTCCTGTGATTATTGGTAAGACCCCAAGAAGCCCAGCTGCCACTTCATAGATTCACTGTTATTCTGTGATAACAGTGCCATTGGCTCTTTACAGCTGCTAAAGACTTCATGCAGCTGGAAGCAAAGGCCCAAAACCTGTAGTGTGTGATTGTGAACCAAAAAGCCTCTGGGGCATCCAGTGGTGATATTATAAGTGATCCCCTCTAAAGAAAGCACTTGCAGCCTATTTCCTATTGCCACAGCATAATACCAGCAATACAGTAGTGTGTAGTTGGCTTCTTTTCAATTTTAAATGACATTTTCATGACCTTTGTACCCATGTGCATGCAAGAAAAATAATTAGATTTCCTTCAAAATAATCTTACAAAATCTCCCTCCCATCAATGAAAGTGCTGTTTCTAAAGCATGTTGGGTACTTCTTGTGTGCAATTTTGAGTGAATAGGGCCTGATTTTGATGAAGGCTATGATGATCACTCCATTCAAGCCTCTTAAGGAGATAAAATAGCTTGCCAGACTTCATACCAAGAGCTCTGCTAATCAGTGTTGAGAAGGGAATAAAAAGGCAGTCAATCCTGCTCCTGTTGGCCTTTGGAGTTGCTGCACAGGTCTTAAAGGACAACAGAAAATGAAATTCAGTTCTAAAATATAAAACTGTTGGAGTGTATAATACTTCCTCCTTTGCTGGAAACAAGGAGATTTGAATCTGAATTTGTTATACTGATAAAATCGTCTGTGGAGAATAAATTGTGAAAAATAGAAAAGGTCACTATGATAAAATTCAGGATGACTTTCTCAGAATAAGAGGAGGCAATTTCTGATTCACAAAGTCAGCCTTCTTTTCGCTG